TTTTGGAGGTTCAGAGGTCTCTACAAGCTTTCTAGATTTTATTTGGGATCTTGGTGGATATTCCTATTATAAGAACTTCTATAATACAATGCAAAATGAGTGGATAGTGAAAACAGAAAACACGAAATTTCCATTTTCACTAATGAGAGGTATCCCCATGTCTGCCAATTTGAAAAGGATTTGGGTTTCTGCTCATCCAAAATAAGGTGAATCAAGGCTGGCCTTCAATCATGGTGAAGAGCAAATATAAGAATTTATTTAGATGTTAGTTGGGTAATCTGCAGCCTACTGCAGCGAAACATACTCTGGGGTTTGGTATTGGCTCTGCCATTCACTTGCTGTGTGTCCTTGGTCACACCTGTCTCTGGGCCCCAGCTGTCTCTGGAAAATGAGAGGGCTGCATTAGATCATGATTTCCTAAATCCTGTGACTAACTGTCACAACATTAAAAACAATTAAATTGCATAGTGGAAAATTGCACACAATTGAATCCTTTAATCCTCCTGATTAAAGGAGAATGTCTCAGAGAAGTGTTAATGTATCTTTAAACACCTTTAAACACCTGCTGATGTTACTTTTTTACAGAGAGCAGACTTTAGGCTCAGCCTTCCTTCGACTGCATGTCCCTATCTAGATGAAAAGTTCATCACGCTGTTTTGTTTTTATTTATTTTGATGTTCGTTTTTTTATAGCAAGTGATTCTGGCTTTCCACTTACAGCAGTGATATAGAGTTTTCTCTTAAAATCAATGTGTTTGTATAGATGAGAACATTTAAAGAAATCTATGAAGGTGGTATTGACATATGGCAAGAACTGTGAGGTTGGTACATGAACGGCTGCCCTTTGGAAACCCCTGGTTTAGCTGGACCGAAGTGCTTTCCGCCTCTGAGGGCCCATGGCTGTGAATGACTCACAACACACACTGCTGGTCTCCAGCTGTCTCAAATGTAAGCTCTGTGTGCGCAGCGAGTACATGGGGCTTTTTGGCCACTGTATCTGCAACATATAGTTTAGTGGGTGGCACGTAGCTGGATTTCAATAAATGATTCTAAAGGAATGGATGCATAGCTGGCAGGAAATACTGGGATGTGACACTGTTTTATGTTTGGAAGCAGTTTAGGCCCTGTGGAGTAGTGAAAGGTGGACACACACACACACACACACACACACACACACAGAGGCACACACATGCACACTTTATTTTGAATGTTAAGCCAAGTTGAATCTTTGGGATAACATTAAAATTTGAAGAATATATGTAAAATTACTTTTTTTTTTTTAATAATTTGGTTCTTGACATCTCAGATCATCCCTGGAAAAAGGCAAAGTTTAAAGAATGAATGAGTGAATACATAAATAAATATATTTACCTTTTACTCTCAGTTTTCCTTGTTTCCAAATCTCATTGGCTCTCTTCTTGGAGTATTTTTAAATTGACTGGCTGTTTGGTTCAAATTCGGATTTAAAAAAGTTTTGGCTTGAGCTACAGACCAAGTGTGTTTGCTGGGCTGGAGTTTGGGCGTGCCACCAAGCTGCTTTGGCTCGGTGACAGTTCAAACACAGCCAAGCAGCTGGTCCTGCTGGGAGAGCCATCAGGGGGAAGATGCCACAGAAAGAGTGTCCTGGGCGCTGCAGTAGGCGCTGCAGTGGTCTCTTCAGGTCCATGGGAGAGCCCCAGATTTAGGGGAGCCATCACTGACCCCCACCCAACTCTGTTTTCTCTTTCCTTCTCCCCCCAGAGCTGTAGTTGACTCTGACTTCCAGTAGTCATTGAAAACTGCCGCTTCTGGAACTGGAGTTAGTGGAACAGAGAGACAGGACTTTCTCTTCAGCCCCGTCTCATATTTTAGGTGAAGGCTTGTCCTTATATTGGGGGAAAGACTGAGGGTTTGCCATTGTTTTCCTCATAGGACCATCCCTGCTCCCTCAGCCCAACTCCAGCCATTTGGTTTGACTGAGTAGCCTTTTCTGAGGACCAAAGAGCATCAAGGGTGAGGTAAATGGAAGCAGAATTATTGAATGAACTGAAAAAATTTCTCATTGCTCAAGCAGCAGAAATAGTTATTACAGAAAAATAGCAATAATAAAGTGGTATACTCCACAGGGTTGTGGTGGTGATGATCTGAAACAACGTGGGTAACGCATTGGGGCTATGTCTGGCTCAACACTGGCACCCCACAAATAGTAGCTACATTTATTATTTAACTCCTCCTGCAGTAAGTGGCTCCTAGTGGGTCTCAGTATATGTTTGTTGAATGAGCAAATGATGGAGCTGGCTGCCCTACAGGGAGGAAGCTGGAGGTGTTCAAGCCAAATATGTACGTTACTGACTTATGGTACTGATACTCCATCAAATATCACAATAGAAATGACTGTGAGCTCAGAGACAATGCTTTAGATCTGCCACCCATCAGGCCAGCTGATGTCCTTCAGGGCAAGGTGGCTTTGATTGGCCAGGCAACCACAGAATGACTTTCCGTTTACTCTCCCTTTTCTGTATTTGGAAGTTAGAATATGCCTCAGGTGTTAAGCCAACACACCTTCAGACACCAGGGTTTTGCAGCAGCCCTTTTACAGAGCAGTAGTTGAGGGCAGGGAAGCAGGTGAGCGTTTCCTGTTTGGTACACGCTTTTAGAGCTTTTGAGGTTTGGCATGAAGATCCTGGGAGTCTGCTCCTGACTTGGTGAAATATTAAAGAGGAGAGATAAGATCTCTGACTCTGTGTCTCCATGAAGAATTAATGTTTCTCCTCTCCTGACCTAAGGGTGTGATGCAGCTAAGCTGCCAGAACCCCAAACTTTACTCCGACTGGCTGGTGTAGAGGGGGACAGCAGATACGACATGACTGGAATAATGAAGAGAATAAAATTGATGTGAATGCCTCTTTCTGAGCCACAATCCGTCGCATCTGGATAGTGTTGGACTCCCAAAGGTGTGGTTCTTGTGGTCAGTAAATCTCCTATAGTGTCCCAGCTAAGTGGTCTCTACATTCAAGGTGCCTTAGAACCATGATTCCCGAGGGGCAGAGGTAATTGTTGGACAGGTATGCTATAGAGGAGCGTGAGTTATAACGCAAGACACTAATGGTTCTGGAGGGCTTACTCTGCATTTTATTTTATTTTTTATTTGTTTATTTAATTTTTTTTAGCTGAGCCATCCTGCCACCTATGGGCAGCTCAGCGGCAGCTCAGCTCGGGGTGTGAATTGAACCGGTGACCCTGTTGCTCAGAGCTTGCACTCGTGAGCGAGCTCTTAACCAACTGAGCCACTCGGCCGGCCCTGGAGGGCTGACTCTGTCCTGGGCAATCTACTTGGCCCTTTGTGTGGCTCATCTCTCTCCATTCTGTGAGAAGCCCTGTGGCAGGTACCTGGCCGTAAATGTTCGTTGTGTATGGTCCCAGGTGTCATTCCCACTTCCCAAGAATGCCTGATTTCCCTTTAGGAGTTCCCTCCGTGTTGCTGGAATGGTAAACTAGATGTCTTCCTCTGTTACCATGGTGCCTGAAGTTTTCTTCAAATCACACTAATGAAGGAAGGGACAGTCCAGCTGGAATTTCTGTCTTCCAGGACTTGGAGTCCCGAGCTTATCATTGGAGCGTGGAAGAAATCCTTAGGACTTGCTGCTCCCAGCTCCAGCTCTGGGCCAGGCGCCTGGTGCCAGGTAACTTCTGCCGCCTGCTCCCAGCTTGTCCTAAACCTTCTCTTCCCTCTCGTGAGCTGTCTCTCACCCGCCTGTAAATTTCCTTTTACACAGAGCCTTTGAAGGGTCCTGAATTCAGGTCTGTCTGCCTCCACAGCCCATGAACTCAACCGTTATGCAAGGCTGAAAGGCTCTCTGTTTCCAGCTAGGCGCGGGGTTTTAAGAGGCTCTGTGTCTGAAAGTCTGGGAATATATGATTCTAGAATGGTAGGATCGATTCCTTGTCTGTCCTTTCCGAGCTGGTCAGGGTTCACACCTACAAATCCCTACTGCTTGAGCTGTCGGCTGAGTCAGCAGTAGGGTGTGTGAGGGCTTTTATACTTGAGCTCAGCTGACAGACACATCCCTTTACTCATGCTGGCCTCTCTCTCCCTGCAGGCTTCACATTGTAAGGCCCTGCCAGCCTAGCCCCCTGGCTTATCCATAAGATCTAGAATCTACTATCCCTTAGGAGAAATCTGAGGCTGGGCGACAAGGTGAAGACACCTCTTTAAGAGTTTTTGCCCCGTCGACAATCCCCTGGAGACCCCCAAGGGGTGGCCTCTCCAGTAAGCAGTGAAAAGCAGAGCCTCATAGCAGCTTCGAGAAATGCCTCACCATCTACTTGCAGCATGAAAGATTGGGAATGTTCCCCCGTATCGCCGCTAGGCAGATATAACCAGATATAAACTTTACATTTAAGTGGCTAAAACGTAGTACCCATTTCCTCAATGTCATTCTTCAATCAGCCAAGTAGATCATTTGAATCGTGTGAATACGTCTTTCCCAAATGAGACTCAGGAAAGCTATTTTTATTTTGAACAAAAATGTACTCCAATTGTTCCTGAGTTGCCCTTTGCCAAATCATATCGCTTCCCTGAAGCAGTCCTACAGGCTTCTTCAGTGTAGGAGCTTCTATCTGGGCACAGTGGCTGGTAGGAGAGTTTTCAGACTTTTTATTTTTTTAGCAGTGGAGTGATTTTTTTCAATCCCAGCGAGATTATAATATCCAAAAGAGATAAGATGGAGCTGCTCCGCTGAAGTCACCCCTGCCCGGTGGCATTCCCCTCCATCCTCCTACCTGGGTCCCCGAGGCGGCTCTGAAGAGGCACAGGAGTTGAGGAAGGGCGGGAAAAAGGGGAAAAGGTGCTGGCCCGACACCTCGTTTGAACTGAATTGGATTCAGTGGACATGGAGCTGAAAGAAGGCTGAGCTAATTTGCATTGTTTCTTTTTCTCTCCATCTCTGTCTCCTCCTTCCTTCCTTGCCTCCCCTCACCCCCCACCTCCCTTATGGCTGAGGGAATCGAGAGGGTGGCTTGCAGAGGGATGAGAAAAGCCAGGCCACTGTAGCCTTTAAAGCTGAGGCAGCAGCAGAGAGCAGGCAGAAGACGGGCAGATGGAGAGCAGTGCTGAGCACCAGGCTGGCCCCCGGCGAGAACCTGGGCCACCACCGCAGATTTACAGGAACTGGTCGGAAGAGCAAAGCAGCCGGTGAGTAGGTGAGGACAGCAGCTAAAAGACAGCCAAGGACAGCATGTCACATGCTGAGCTGTCTGCAGCCTGGGGCATTTAGGTGGTGCCTGGGCTTCCTCAGAGCGGAGCTGGGCGAGCGCAGCAGGAGCGACTATGTATCAGCAGAAAAGCCCGTCGGCTCCGTTTGCTTCGTGTCTGTTCTGCATGCCCTGCCGTGAGTGGCTTTCGACCTCTCTCTGGAGAATATGCTCATTATCTGAGCCTTTGAGTTAGTGTTTGGGGCTGTGGCCCAGACACCCGTCAAATTGAGGTATATGTGGTTTTAGGGTTTGCCAGGCGCCTTTCTACACGTGACCTCAGGGTTCCTCTGAGGTACGTTGGGAAGGTCAGTAATGAGGAACGTTACACTGTGCGTTATGTCCCAGAGCCTTGCGGATGCCACCGCCGTGTAGAGGAAGCAGGGGACTAATGAGGTAAGAAGAGAAATATGCTACAGACAGGCTAATTGCCCTATTCTCAGTGTTTGGCCTCTGACACATGCCCGGCCACCAGGCAGGGCAGTGGTGGTTATGCATTCCATTCCCAATAGATCAGAGTGGCTTTAAGTTTCCTGGATCGTGTCACTCACATGTGTCACGTGTACTTGGGTGTCATGGCATGTTGCTCCAAAAGGGTGATCTTTAAGGCCAAAGGTCACAAACTGGCTGGCCCCAGAAGGGTTTTGTTTGGTCTGCATCAAGTTTAAATTTTCAAATTGGTGGCTGACATTTAAAAATTGGAAGAGAACTGCATTCCTGGTTTTCTTGAAAAAGTTGGAGGATTTGACAACATTTGTTTTTGCAACTGCCCCATTTCCATGAATCATGCGCTCTCCACATTGCCACAGACCCCACCCAGCCTGCTTCACTTCCTTACATCACCTGCATGGCCCCATGTGCACTTGAGTTTGAGACCCTTGACCTAGGTTGTTGTCTTATGTAACTTGACATGTGGAACGGAGGTTGGCAAACGAGGGCCTGTGGGCCAAATCTGGGTCTCCACCTGTTTGTAGAAATAAAGTTTTATTGGAACACAGCCACTCTCATTTCTTAACAGATTGTCCATGGCTGCTTTCATACTCCTTAGGGTGCAGTAGTTGCTAGAGAGCTCATATCTGAAGATCCTAAAAGATTTACTATCTGGCTCTCTATAGAAAGAGCTGGCTGACCCCTAACGTAAACCATGGCCAGAGGGCTGACGTGTCACCACAAAATAGCCCATCGAAGTGTTTTCTAAACAAGAGTTTTTTTTTTCCTCTCAGAGGAATTCCACCAGCGTTCTTAAATTAACTGCATTTTCTTTCTCTCCTGGCTTTATTTATAACCTAGCAAACTGAGAGGGGAAGTTGGTGACCAATTGTTCCCTGGGTCTGGGCTATTATGAGGTTGTACAAAGTGAGTTTTAGTGGTCAGAGCCATCAGGCAGTTGGCTTCCTTCCATTTTTCCCTCGCCTGCCATGCCTGTGGGGAAATATCCAGAATTATGGGCATCCTGCTTCTCTATGGACCCTGCCTCTAACCCACAGGGGCCAGCATTGCTGTTGTCACTTATTGAAATGCTGTGCTATTAGCATTGTTATTTTTGAGAACAATATCTTACGCATGTGTGATGGAAGTAGTGAACTCTTTCACAACATCCCTGTACCTTTTCTCACATTTCTTTCTCAGGGCAGGCCAATGGCCCATTCAATAGCTCTTTTTCCTCCTACCTTCCTTGCTGCAGAGCCCAGCTCTAGGTAATGACTGAAAGTGCTAGAAGCTTGCTTTTCTGGCCTTCTACAGTGGCTGGGGTGATCGAATGATCCTGTTCTGTCTCAGGACAGAGAAGAGAAGTCTTCTGGGAGGCTTCTAGGACATATTTTCCTATCTCATAAGATACATTCCTGTGTCCATTCCTTTTTGTTTCTGAGGGTGGCTTTGTGAAGATGTGATGCTTGGAGCTGTTGCAGCTATCTTGGGACTTGAGGGAAGGCATTAATGATATGCCGAGGATATTTGGAGGAGGGATGAGAAAATCCTGTGTTCCTGGGGACATCCTTGAGCCTGGAACCATTACCCTTCAGATGGTTCTCGTTGTGGGACATGCTAATAAAACTTTCTTATGAAAGCCACTTTGGGTTAGGTATTTTATGGCCAAAAGTATCTTAATTCAAACAATCAGGTACTATTAACTCTAGTTTACATCACTTTCAAAAAGCAGCATAAATGTATACCGTTCTTACTATGTGTTCAGTACTGTTCATGCTTTCAAATAGTTAACTCATTTAGTCTTCATAATGACAGTAGAACATAAGTATTATTACCCTGATTTTACAGACGTGAAAAGTGACATTCAATAAATGCTAATACGTCAGGAGGTCACGCCCCTGGTAAGAGGCAGAGCTAGGATTTAACCCTGGGCAGTCTGGCTCCAGAGGGCTGCGGGCTTAATCACTGTACTTGTTCCCTCTTTAGAAGAGAGGAAACGGTTTGCTCCATGTCACATGACACAAGTTATCTCATAGCATGTGGTACCACCCTTAGCCTGGGATGGGCACCAGAAGAATCTATACACCCGTCCATCTGCCTCCTCTCCATTAACTCCATCTTCATCACCCTTGAGCTGGTTACAGCCCTGAATCTTAGTGGATGCTCAATCTTAGGACTAGATTTCAAGCCTCTTCGTTGCTCACCTGCTGCTCGAACTTTCTTCCTACTGGCTGTAGGCATCAAACCATTGCCTGCCTGAGGGAGCTCAAGAGAGTGGTGTAGCAGGGCCGGTACCCTGCGCCTTGTATCTTACTGAGGGGCATTACCTAGTGGCCATGGGTACTGGGTTTGTGGTCAGGCAGAGGTAAGTTTAATTATGGCTCTGCAACTTCTAACTTTGTTACCATGGGACAGTCCCTTCCCCCGCTCTGAGCCTCAGTGTCCTCTCCTGTAAAACGGAGTAATAATGACCTATACACAATGAAGTAATTTTGAGTATTAAAATGATAGGCATACAAAATGCTTAACGAAGTGCCTGTCACCAAGTAATCACCTCGTAAACGGTGAACACCATTCTTAGTGAGGTTGCTTTTCTATTTTTACTGTCACTATGTTTGGGGCTGTTTGTGGGCTAGAATTTCTTGGGAACCCTCTGTTCTGTACGAGATGGACCTGAAATCTTGGGAGTAAGGGAGGGGACTCATTGTGAGAGATGGTGACCTAGGAACGCAGAACAACAGGATGCCAACCCAACTTTGCGATCTCAGTGGCTCCTTTTCTCTCCCTGGGCTCCCATTCCCCCACCTGTCAAATGTGTGGGTGGGTTGAGATGACCCCTAAGGGCCTTTCCCAGCTCAGACAGGCCACAGTGTGAGATGCACCAAACTCACGGGCCAGCATTCTCTCTGGGGCTCTGCAAAGCCCGGGAGCAGTTAGCATCCCTGAGGACCGGGGTTCTGTTTCCTCCCAAATCTACCAGGGCCGCCCACGGGTTTCTATCTCCTCAGCCATCAGCATGCCCATGCCTGGTGCCCAGTGCCTGCATTAGGTGCATGGCCAGTAATTCTGAGCTGGATGAGTGAATGAGTGCTACCTGGGACCCCTGAAGGAGGGGCAGGTTTGGTTTCTTGTAACATAAATACTTAGAATATGACCGTGGTTTTAGTTTTTGGCAACAGGAATCACTTACTCATGGTCATGGCCTTGAACTTAACCAAACTGTGAGCCAGCACCAGAATAAACTGCACTGAACTGCCAGCTTCAGAGCCAAAGGGAAACTGACTTTCCATTGACCCACGAGCCAGGTCTGGTTTTTTTAAAAAAACGTTTTACAAACAATCCAGCATCTAGCAAACCTGGTCAAATGAAAAGCTTTCTTGCATTTGCTTTTAGAGCCCTGAACTGGAACGAAGTCAGACCCTAAATAATTCTAGTTTATAATATTGTGCAATACATGCAGATACTAATCACGTGAGCTGACACTTGCAGCGCAATCACCTTGTGCTAATTGAATTATCTCATTTATTCCCCAAGCAAACCTATGAAGGAGGTACGATTTTTATTCCTATTTTACAAGTGGGGGAAGTTCGACAGATACATAACATTTGCCAAGGTCACATGGCCACTAGGAGGCAGAGTGGACTCTTGAACCCAGGGCCATGGAATTTCTCAGGATCGATGGCAGCTACAGTTTACTGAGCCTGCATTGCGAGGCTGTGACGGGGCTGAGCACTTTGCATGCAAGAACTCAGTTTATCCTGACAGCAGCCCTGTCTGCAGTGTGTCATGATTAGCTCCTTTTGGAGATGAGGGAGCAGAGCTTTGAAGAGATGATGTAACCTGCCTGCAGTGTGGGGGTGGTGGAACCAAGCTATCCCCATAGAATGGCAGAGCTCAGGGAACTCTCATGGGCCCCAAAGAGGGAGGGTCTTTACCAAGGTCACACAGTGACTCTGAACTGGGACAAGGCTGCACGGAAGACATTTTCCATTCACTGCTGGGAGGGTGTTGTTGCAGCAGCAGTGGGAGGGGGACCTGCCATATGGCTGATCCTCTACGTCCCTTGTTTCAGTGACAGAAAAAAAGAGCTCCGTGAGTTAGAGTACATGCTTTGGAGTCACAGACCTGTGCTCAAATCACAACTCCAGAACTAACTTGCTGGGCGATGTTGGGAAAGGCTCGCCCTCTCCGAGCCTCTGTTCCTCTTCTGTACAATGGGACAGTAACCATACCTGCCTCCTGGGGTTGCTGGAGGAGTGAAAGACGGAACACATGTAAAGCGTGGGGCACAAGGACCGCAGCACAGTTAGCGTGGAGTAGCTCTTGTTGTTACTGAAATGATCCGCCAGCCAAAAGAGGTTTGAGAACCGTTGCTCCATGTAGAGAAGCCCTGAAGCCTGCTACAATGATGACATTAGGGTGGGACAGAGGCCCAGAGGCTGAAGAATGTCAAACTCTATCAGACTAACACATGCACTCGGGGACACACACACACATACACACACACACACACGTACCTGCACACCTGCATATAACACACATGTGCGCGCACACTACATGTATGGCTATACACACATTTGCATGTACCCACACATGCGTGCACACGCACGCACGCACACGCACACACACACACACACACACACACACATTGCACGTGCACGCGCTCTCTCCTTTGCCTAGTTAACACCTACCCATCCTTCAGCTCTCAACCCAAAGGTCACAGCTTCAGGGCAGCCGCCCTGACCTCCCAGGTGAGGCCAGGCCACTCAGACTGTGCTCTCTTGGCACCTTACACTAGTCCTCCTCTGTTTGCATCTCAATTGTCATTGAATAATGATGTCATATGTTGCTTAATTATGTATTTCCTGCTAGAATGCTAGCTCTGCAGAGGTCAGGGACAAAGCCTGACTCTTCTCCACTGATTGAAAGCACCTCACACTGCCAGGCACATAACAGGCCTTTGACACATTTGTGCCATTGCGTGGACAGAACCAGCAGGACCCCTTTTGCGTGCAAGCTAGGCAATGAGCGGATTCACAGGGGGGCTGCCTTGCACAGGGTTTGGGGCCTTGGGTTCTGTGATGGTTTGCAGGCTCGCCCTGAGAGATCCAAGCCTCAGAATGCTGTGGAAGTTGGCAAGAAAGAAAACCCAACTTTCAAATGCATTCCTCGTCACCAGGAAAGCAAGTGTTGGTGGGGGATAGAATTTCTAATAAGTCTGAAACGCGTACAGCTCCTTACTGCTTCTCGCTCTGCTTCCCCCAGGGACGTTAGGGGACACCAGCAGCTGCCACAAGTAATAAGGTTGATGAGTCACTGCCTGGGCTGCGACAGAACTGTTTTCTTCCTCTCAGGCCACATTATAGCAGTAAGCAGATCCCTTTAGACATAAACAGGGCAGGGGATGATGGAGTGATGGAAATGAGACATGCAGTGCTGGGCAATGAAAAACAGGTGATTCGGGTTAGAGTATAGATGGTCCCTGACTTACAATGGTTCAGCTTATGATTTTTTGACTTCACAATTGTGTAAAAGTGATACGCCCTCAGTAGAAGCTGTAGTTTAAAGTTTGATCTTTCCAGGGGCTAGCTGTCTGTGGTACAATTCTCTTTTATGATGCTGATTGGCGGCCTCCATGTGATCAGGAGGGTAAACAACCAACAATCTTCAGGGTACTGTGTTGCCAGAGTTTTGTGGGTGTTGTGTTTTGTTTTTGCATCCCATCATGTCTACAAAATGCCTCTCTGTGCCTCCTGCTTTTGGTTGGAACAAGAAGAGGATGGCAATTACAGGTGCTTCTCAACGTACGATGGGGCTGTGTCCCAATAATGTAAGTGTTCTGAGCACGTTTAAGGTAGGCTAGGCTAAGCTATGATGTTCGGTAGGTTAGGTGTAGTAAATGCATTTTCGACTTACAATGGTTTTCATCATACTTAACCCCATCGTAAGTCAAGGGGCATCTGTAATTTCTTTTACTTCATTTGTTTATTTAAAGAATAGTGCTGGACACCCTCTAGCTGCTGGGCATATTGGAGAAATGAGATCTCCATAGTCCTTGACCTTGGGGTACTCAAGTCTGCTGGAGAGATGGACAAGGAAACAGGCAATTAAAATGCAATGAGATCAGTGTTCAGTGGGATGTGCAGAAGAGTGGTTCCTGCGGGGAGGCGGGGGGGGGATGGCTTCTGGAGAGGAGGATGTCTAAGCTAAGACCTGGAGAATGAGCTGCAGTTGGCCAGGTGAGGAGAATGGGGAAAGAGGGGTTTGAAAGGAGAGGAGAATTTGTGGGCAGTTCCCAAAGGGAGAGAGGGCATAGCAGGCCAAGAAACGTGGCAGGAGCTCAGCGTGGTAGCAGCTGTGGGTCCGGGATGGAGTGCCATGGAGGGCAGGGCCCAATTGGATGCGTAGCCCGTCTATGTGGACCTCAAAGCCCTACCCCCAGGCTGATAGCAGATGGATCCTAAAATGGAAGTACTGGTAGGCTAAGAGACCATTCTGAAGAGAGGTGGAGACTTTTAAAGACGCTGGAGCTCTCTCTGAGGCTGTGAGGAGAGGTAGGCAGGCAGACGCTTCTCAGGGGCAGTGAGCTCCTTCAGACTTAAGGGTACAGGAGGAGCTGTGCCACTCACTGCTACGTGGCCCTGCATTCTCTGGGCCAGTTTTCTCACCTGTCAAGTGGACAGGGACGCCTCAGTGACCTTTTAAACCTTCCAGCAGCTGCCACCTGAACTCTTGTCGAGCTGGATGAGCTGTGTGCTTCCCTGTCTCACAGGCCACTCTGCGACTCTGCCCCATTTGTCCCCCACAGCTCCTTCTATCCTGCAGCGTCCACCTCGGCCACCCCGGCCTTGTTTTCTCTATCGCTACCCGGAAGCTGTGTCGCTACGAGCAGCTCACGTCACATCTCTGGGCCTCAGTTTCTACATGAATGAGAAAGGAATGAGAGTGATAATACCACGCACTCCTTCAGTCTCCTCTCGTGCCCTGTCCATCCCAGGCCACCCGTCCTTCTCTCTCTCCCTCAAGCTCACGGAGCTCTGTCTTGCCTAGAATTCCTTGCCTCTTCCTTCCTTCCCATTCCTTCCCCACTTTTGGCTAATTCTTCCTCGTCTTCAAAGACAAGCTTCCGCAAGATTTCTTCGGAGGAGCCTTCCTGAAGAGGATCCACTCCTTGTTCTATTTTGTGTTAACACTCTGCAGATCGCCTTCCTGACGCATGTCCGCATGTCACAGTGTTGTGTGACTACTGGGTGCCCCCCCCCCACAAGGTATGTGCAGGGCAGGGGACAGATCCAACATGTTCATCGCTTAGCCCTGTGCCGGGCACCTATTAGGCATTGGATAATTAGTTGTTGAGTGGCTAAATGACATTTCAATGGATTTAGTACATTTCATACATATGCAAGTTATTCATTATGCTGAAGCCAGGCCCATACATTTACGTAAACTCAGTTTTTCAAAGAACATCACAAAACCATGCTGACATAGTCTGGTCACTAGAGGGCGATGTGAAACCGTAAAGCTAGGTGGCCTGAGGGACCCCGGCCCCCTTTTGAGAAGTGGAAATCTAATGTTGAGTCACTTTCTGTTCTTTCCATTTCCAAGCTTCATCGAATAAAATAAAAAAATACACAGACTATTGTGAGTTGGAAGGCCTGTTTGGTCCAACCCTGGATTCTGAGACCTAAGCGAGTGAGTTCCCTCTGTCTTGACCAGCCCCACAGCACAGACTCGTTCCTAGCCGTGGGCAACCCCTCTCTTTTTCAGTATTCCTATTTTCCTGTCTGTCCATTCATCTGAAAAATATTTACTGACTTTCTACTATGTGCTGAGCACTGGGTGAGGTGCTGTCTCATGGAGTCTACTGTCTACTTGGGAAGACAAACATGGAGAAATAATGTGCAGTTACCAACGGTGATTATTGAGGAGAAAGGCCAGGCCTGAGGGCGGGGTAGAACAGGGCCCTGGATTCTTTCTTCAGCTCACCCTCAGAGGAAGGGCCATTTAACAGAGACCCAAAGTCTGAGCAGCCACTGGCAGAGGGGTCAGAAGACCAGGCCTTCTGCCCATGGGCCCACCTGGGTGCCAGGTACTGTCGGGCAAGTCCTTTTCTCTCGCTGTCGTCTGTTGTCCCATTTGTATAATTGTACAAGCATTTCAAACCCGAGCGTTTGATTAGGAGGGACTTGTATCTGGGGTGCTCGTGTGCGTGGCTCTCAGTCACAGGAGTCTGGGGTCCACCTCTTAGGGGAAAGGGGGCGCCTGCATTGATGGGCTCCCACTCAGCAGTGGGTCCTGGGCTGAACCTCCAAGCTTTCCAAGCTCTGGGGAAGCTGTGCTCAGGCACAGGAGGACTGCTGCCTTAAGACCTAGTGGAGGGGTTCCCACCGTGTGGCCCGGACTGCCTGCTTCCAAGCGTCTGGGGAGCTGGGTAAGTATACAGATCCCTGGGCCCTACCCCCAGCGACAATGATGAGGTAGATGTGGAGGAAGGCCCCAGAATCTGCATGCTCATCTCTCCAGGTGATTTTGATGCACACGAAGGTCTGGAACTCATTATCCTTCATCTCTCTGCAGAAAGGGTTTATGACCCAGGCTTCCGGTTGGACTTGATTTATGTTCTATTATTGTGTATTCCAGAAAAGCTGTGGCCAAACTCAATCCTTGAGGCTCAAACTATATCCTCAGCACATATAAGGATCTCACTTTAAAGAGTCAACCATTTGGGATGTGAATTTTCACTCCAATAGAGTTCTTTCATGTGTGTTAATTTTCCTAAACAAGGGCTACGCCTATTTATGCTTCACAGACCAATTCATTCATTAATTAGAAACACCTAGAATTCAGCTTTGTGGAAGATCAACAGTCATAATTTCCAGAAGGGAAATGGAACAGGTGTGTGACCAGCGGCACAAAGAATTAAATTTCAAAGCCGAGAGTTAAGCTCCTCCAGATTAAGCACTTATTTATTGTCAGATTTATAATCACTCCCTACCTGGGACAGGTGAGCCCTGGCCCAGTGTCCCCTGAATGCAGCTAAAATCCTGATGACCTTGAATTTGCTATTGCTGAAGAGGCTACAGTCCCGTGGCTCCTGCCCAGGACTATCATCCATGGGGTCAGGGAATGCCCTGACCTGATCTGATCCCCTCATCCTGGGCTGAAAAGCGGCTCAGGCAGAGCTGTCTTGCATCATGCAAATGTCTTGGCTCTTGACAAGGAACATTTCAATCAGAACCCTTATCTCCAGTCCTTGGCTTGTCCATCATTTTCCCATTTGGGTGTAGTGTGTGTGGGGGGGTGGGGGGGGTGGGGGCAGCTGCAGCTGGTAGCTAGGCTGTCTAAGGGCAGCCGTCCTCAGAGCTCTGGCCGCCCTCACGTGGCTACTTCATCTGAGAGCTTGTGAGCAGAGAGCACTGACAATGGAGAAGTTGACCCATTTGGCTTTTGCCTGTTCCAGGATGGCCAGAAATCTCTGGAGAAAAGATAAGGGAGCTGATGAGGGCCAAGACAGTGTAAACAAGACCACAGGCAGCAGGTGTGTTGAAGCTGGTGGCTACTGCAGGTCGTGCCCAGTCAGCAGCCCAGGCAAGCTGTTGGATCAGAGAGGACCGTCAGCTGGACTCGGGGCCCAAAGACCTCCTACAATTTGCCTTGATGGAGAGTGAGGAGATGGCATCGGAGGGGCTGGAAAGACGAAGTAAAAACGGCACAAACAGGAGGGCAGCAGTGATGGAAGCTGGGACCCATGGAAGGGAAGAAAGGAAAAGAGGTGGGTTCAAATGTGAGAGAGAAGCATTGCTTTTAATCACAATTCTTCATGTGGGTTTGTTGACATGTCCGCTTCCTCTGTGTACACGAGCAGTGTCCGCTGTCTCTCCTTGGGTCTCCCATCAGCGCTGTAAGACAAGCTGGCCATTTCTCTTTTACCAATGAGAAGACAGGCCCAGAGATAGCTACGAGCGGCATGGCCAGGAGAAAGCCCTGGGCCTCCCAGCTCTACGCCTAAATGCTGTCCTGTTAGTAAGTTTGCCAAGTTTAGCCTTATTCAAATGACACTTGACTGCAGGGAGCATTTGTATAATAAAGAGGAAGCCGACCTGCCCTCTCCGATGCTCTCTCCTTGAGGCCCTTCCAGGGGCCTCTGTTTAGGTTTGCCGGTGCTTTGTGGCCTAGGTCACCCAGAGCCACCCAGGGGGAGGGGCGCTGGCTTCCTGCAACCCCATGAAGGCTGTGCTCAGGGTACTTAAATCTGGTGATTCGTGCAGGAAGGATCAGAAAGGAAAAGATAGGAAGGGAGACGACTCAAAAGGAAGTTGACAGTTAACAAAAGAGATAGGCATGTGCTGCCAGTGTCTTATCAGGAATGACACTCGGTTGGTCATGGGATGAGCAACAGAACCTGTGGAGGGCAGTGGGTGGTCAGCTCTGGGCCTGGGGGAATAGTGACCACGATGCCTAGTTCAGGAACCCCTGCCACTGGGGATGGGAACATGGACCCTGGAGTCGGACAGACTCGAGTTCAAGTCTCTGCCACTTTTCTAGTTGTGTCCTAGGACCAGACATGTAATCTCACTGAACCTTAACTTCATCTGTAAAATCGGAATAATAATGATGGTGGATGAAATGAAATCATGCTTAAAAAGCGCTTAACACAATAATAACCACGAAATACATATCTGCTGTGGTCATGATACTTACCTTGAATACCATGAATAGGGTGAATTGTATTGAATAACGAACATGCCCCCAAGTCGTCCAAGTGACAAATTTCCACCCTCTGGACTACCATCTTAAGTCTCTCAGCCTTTCTCACGCAAGATACTTTTACCATTTCTTTTTTTTTTTTTTTTCCTTCAGATTCCACTGAGTGAAGAAAACATTAACCTCATTTGGTGGATAAAGAAACTGAGTCTTGTAGCTGTGAAGCGACACTGTTAAGTAAGGTGACCAAGCTGATACGTGGAGCGGAGCCAACACCACTGCTCGAACCGGCTCATCTGACACTGATAGGCTCAGCCAACTGCCTCTCCGCAGGGAAGACAGACTCTGATGGTGACAGAAAAGCACAGGAAACGCCTTGATGGGGACCTGTGGGGGGAACCAGCCTAATATAGGGATCAGGAAAGTCTCCCTGGGACTTAGCAATGCTGCAAAGGATGAAGATTTCTCACTGGCAGAATGCCAGAGCTGGAAGCCAGCGATTTCCAAAGACAGTATGAGGAATGTTTTCGGGACCTGGCATGTGAGAATTTTAAAAAACCTTAATAATTATGTATTCACTGTAAGTTATTAATGCAAGGGGCTCTGTGTTTACATGTAGGAGGTGATAGGGGTTTCCTTTTTAAATATATAAATACACGTAAAGAAAAGGTAAGGTATTAGGTAAACAATAGTAACTGTGGTGCTTAGGTATGGCAAACATCAGGACCCCAGAAACCTTAATGCCTGAAGACTGGGAAACTGATTTTTTTTTTTTTTTAAGATTTTAATGGGGGGTTGGGAGAGGGGAACAGACAAGTCGCTGTCCTTTTGTTCTTCAGTCTAGTTGTGGAAGACCTTGCTTCACTGGCCCATGTTGGTATTATCATTGTGCTCTTCCCGGGTGAGGCAGTTGCTTGCTGGCCATTGGACGGCCACTCATGGCAGCTCATGGGAGCTCCCAAAAGCTCACGCCAGCTGCTGGCCAGCTCAACTGCAGCCTACGCCATCACCAGTGACTCACGGCAGCCCAGCTCCAGGTCGAGCTGTTGTTCACCATCTTAGCTGTAGAGGGCAGTGTCACTGGTCCTCATGTGGGATCCAAACCTGGGCCCTGCTGCTCAGAGCTGGTGTCTCAAGCCAACTCTTTACCAACGCGCCACTCAGCCGGCCCGGGAAACTGATTTTATATCACTGTCTGTTTGCTGTTTTTTTAAATAGACAAGAACACCGAGACTCAGAGATACTAAAAGCCTCGCTCCATGTCACAGAATGAGTTGGTGACCAAGTATAGTCACATGAAAATGTATTTCATTTTCCCCAAATCCTAAGATAACAGGAAGAGTGATACATCAACTTTGAGTTCTAGGAGACATTTGACAAATGATTCTCAGTTCTGCTGGCGGCCAGATTCTCTTATTAGAATCTTGTCGATGCTGTCCCTGTTTTATTTTAATTTTTTTTATTTTCCAAATTAATTTATCTTTCCAGCCTTCATCTATCTCCCAGGTCCTCTGCCATCATGAGAAGGCCTTGGCTTTAGAGGGAGGGCTTGTGACAGAGGCTCTTGGATCTCCTGGCCCCTGAACCACGTGGTAAGTCCTGACTGTCAGCTGGGCCTACCTGGTGATGGGAAGGGACAGACCCTGGATGTCAAGTCTGAATGCGGCTGGAGCCCAGCCTCTCCTCTACTTTGCTGTGTGGCCACGAGTTTAACCCCTTCCTCCCTGGACTGCCTACCTCATGGGACTCTTAGGAAGGAAAATGAGACAGAGCATTCAGAGCTGAGATGACTGCGCCCTTGAAGGGGCTGTTGTGACCCTGTCAGAAGTTACGAGGCACTTGAGTGGTGACCGTAAACCACCCTGGCTGACTCCAGGGTGCTACCCAGGGTTGACCCTGCCCTGATGTGGAGCCCAGACACTGCTCATACGTGTGCAATACACAGGGAGGGACGGCTCTTTTTGAGAGTGAAAAACTGCTGCTCATAAAGTAATATCACATACATGGTTTTATGTTGATGTATGCAGTGACCCTTAGCATAATTATTATCATTACTGTTTTGGTAAGGAGAAACTAAAGCGGGGGCCTGTGAAAGAGAGCTGCCCCAGACCACCCAGCTGGGGAATTGTGATGTGGGGACCAATCTGCAGGATTTTGGCTCCCAGGTAGGGACACCTGCATTGCCACCACCCATTCTGCACTGAGTTACTGGGCTGGCAAAGGAAGGGCCCTGACTATCATGGCTTTTCTGCATTCATTCCCACATTTGTCAGGAAAGTGTCTCGAGGCCCTCATTTTATGGATGGGAAACAGGCCTAGAGGGAGAAGAGAATGGGCAGAAGTAGGATTAATGTCTAATTAATTTATAACCAAGTTAGGAAAATCAGCTCTTTTCATACAAGTGGAAATGTTTGCGGCAGTTACAGGCTATATTCTTCATTAGGAGCTGAATTTCTAGAAGAAGCCAAGCAGTTTGCATTCTTTCCCTCTAATACAGGCCTCCCCAGCTTTTATCTGCTTATCCAATTATTGTCATTATTATATATATCAGCGGTAGGCAGGCTTCTCCCAAGAAACAGAAACAATAGAATGTGAAACACACACACACACACACACACACACACACACACACACGTATAGAGGATGTGAATATATACAGAGAGAGCATATGCATGTTGAGAGAGAGAGAGAGAGAGGCAGAGAGAGCGAGAGATTTATTTTAAGAAACTGACTCATGTGATTGTGGAAGTTGCCAAGTCCAAAATCTGCAGGGCAGGCCAAGATGCAGATGCAGGTCAGAGTTGATGCTGCGGCTTGAGTCTGGAGGCCATCTGGAGGCAGAGTTCCCTCTCCCTTGTGGGAGGTCAGTCTTTCTGTTCAGACCGTCAACTGATTGGTGAGGCCCACCCATACTGTGGAGGGTAATCTGCTTTACTCAGAGTCTACTGATGTAAATGTTAATCTAACCTGAAAAAGTAACCTTCACAGCCATTTCCAAATGTGTCTAACCAAATATCTGAGTGCTGAGGCCTAGCCAAGTTGGCACATAAAATTAACCACCACAATACATAAACACATCTATGGAATAACGTAAACTAATAGTTACTGACCACCTATGGGCCAGGCACCATTATCTCATGGAATAATTCCTAATACTGATTATATCATACAGTACCTGACACACAGCTAGAAATACATTGTGGTTTCAAATTTAGAGACAATGTAGAGTAGAGGTAATGAAGGCGGGTTTTGGCACGAGGCAGGCCAGAATTCAAGCTCTCATGCTGCCAATGTTCGACATGGGCAAATTACTTAATCTTTCCAAGTCTGTTTCCTCATCTGTAAAGCAGAATTAAAAATAGCACATGCCTCATCAACATAGCAGGAGCGCGATAAATACTAATTTACAAAATGACCGTCGAAGGAACCTCTAGGGTTATTATGAGCATTAAAGGAGACCCTTTACCTGAAGCCCCTCATACAGTCCCTGGCACATGATGAGAGCTCAATGCGTTTAGCTGCTGTATCCTATGGTTATTTTTCCCCTGACATCTGCACACACAGAGTCGTGGCTGGCAGCTGTTGGGATCCATCTAATAAGGCTCGGTAAGGTGTGGCTTCCAGGAAGGTCTTGCCTCTAAAGGCCAGGACAGAACAGAAATCTCTCACCTGACTCAGAGGCTGGTTTCTCTTACTTTCTTGGCATCTTCCTCAGGGCGGCCAGCTCTTTCCACTACTCCCAGAATGCCTTTCTTGGAGTTCTGGCCATGACTGGGCTTGGCAGGGCGCTCTCTGAAGAGCCAGGTGATGTGGTGTGGAGCTGGGTGAGCTCCCCATGTTTCTGCCAGCATCCCCGGCTCCTCATTTGTAGCCTTGTGTCACTCCTGTCACACAAAGCTTGATTTACTGCCTCTCAATGGAAAATAGCTGCCTTCTCCTCCTACGGGCTACAGCCTCCCTACAGACACTCTATCGATTCGTCTAATCCTTCTCATTTTTCTCTCAAACAAATCTCACTGTTTATACTTGGAGGATAAGGCCATCAGGAATACCACAAACCAGCACTGTGTTAATTAATTCATCATTCAATAAAATATTATGGTATACCAAAGGATGGAATCCCAGCTTGGACACTTAGTAGCTGTGGGACCTTGGTCAAGTCTCTTAATCTCTCTTATGCCTCAGTTTCTTCATCTGAAAAATGGGGACAGTGTTAAAATCCATTCAAAAGGCTTATTAAGACATTTGAATGAGTTAATATGTGTAAAGCATGTAAAAACATGCCTGACACATAGCAAGTGCTCTGTGAACAGTAGCTATTACTATTATTATTATTATTATTATTATTATTAGTTATTACTACTTCTACCTCTACTTTATGCCAGGAACCCCACTGGACATTGAGGAAATAGCAGTGGACACGACACATTCTGTCCCTGCCCTTGTGAAGTTGTGAGTAGGGGAGAAAAATAACAAACAAGTAAAAAGCTTTTAGAAACCACAGACGTGGTTACAAATTGTGACAGGCATCCTGGAGAAGACCAGCAGGGTGCTTTGACAGACACACACAGTGGGCTGGGGGGACTACCTAGCCGGGCAGGTCGCAGAAGGCATCACTGAGTTAATATTTAGGCTGAACTCTGAAGGATGAGAAGGAGTGGGGAGAAAGGAATAGTGGGAATAAGGAACAACGTGTATGAAAAGCTTGGGGCGGAAAGAACTTGGTCCGTTCATGAGAAGGGCAGGGCCCATATCGCGAGGGCGGAAAGCGGAAAGGGAAGCGGTGAACACTTACAAAGCATTTACTCAATGTCGGACGCTCTTCTGGGCACTTTATGTCTGTCTCCTTACCCAGTTCTCACGTCCACCCAAGGAAGAGGCATTGTCACGACTGTCCACACTCTCCCTTAGTTTCTTGCAGCCACAGCACGAGGCACAAACTCTTAGCTTGACATTTCAGGTGCTTCACAATAGAGTTTCCAACATTAACTTTCCGGTTTTATTTCCTTTTGTCATTTCGCTGTTCACTGTAAAATTAATTGGTACTGATATAAGTAATACAGGGATACATTTTCCTTGTGAAAGCTTAAAACAATACAGGTAAATTTAAAGTTCTTTTTTTGCCACTCTCCCCCCTTCCCCATCTCTCTCTCAGGTGCCCTCCAGAGGTAATATGCAGTTGATTTGCTGTGAATCCTTTCAGACATCTCTCAAATCTATAGATTTATGGGTACATCTAAAGAGTGTATAAAACTGTAGGAAATATACAGAATCATTTTGTATTTTTTAAATAAACACACACCTTAGTATAATAGTGGCCAGAGGGGCTAGGAGGTTGGAGGTGGGCAAAATGGGTGAAGGGGTCATCTGTATGGTGATGGATGGAAGCTAGACTGGTGGTGGTGATCACTGTGCAGTGTACACAGATGTCAAATTATAATGCTATACATCTGATACATATAATAGACAAATTTAAAATAAAAAATAGAAAAAAAAANTGTCACCCCTTCTTCTTTCCGTCCAAGGCCTCTGCTCCTGAAATAACCACTTCCTACTCAGCCTCCCTGCCCAAGGCTTGTGTAGAACCATC